AAGTAGAAGTTAGTCATTCATTTGGATCCAAACTTCATAATTAGTTAATTTTGTTCCCAGTTTGTTCCTGTGTAACTTACTGTAAACACGTGAGCAGTTTTGAGTTTTGCCCATAATCCTATTTGCAAGAGGCTGAATATTTTCAGCTGCAATTGTACGAGAGCACTTCGAAATCTAAAGTACGTGATCCCACATTGTTTTTTTTATAACAAATAATTGTATTATTTTGTACTCACTTATTTACTTCTTTGTATTATTTGTACCATTTTTTTCAAGTGTTTTTTCTTGTTTATCTAGTTATAAAACACTTATGTCATGTCCTGTTGTTTTCAAACAACCTGTAGATAAAAAAAATCGGCATCTTATACACAGCAGCCTCAACACTGACACAACATTGCCTTTTTTAATTTTTTTTGTTTGTTTCTTTTTTACCTTGCCGTTAAGCTCCTAATACGCTTAATTGTCGTTTCACTGTCTTCTAATTAGAAGTCTTCTACATTTTTATTAATGGCAAATGAGAATCAATTAACCAAATTACGCCTAAATACATATTATACAACTTGTGAGACTTCAGTATGGCATGTGCTCTGCAGTTTCCTGTTGCGTAAGGGCTTTAGGAGAGGTGTGGGCGTGGACCTTTGCCTCTCCACAGCCCCACACCTTTGATTTGGGCTTTTTAGGAGAAGTGACATCGTGGATCATCGCACCGCTCTTTGCGAACGTCATTTTATTGAGATACGGGCACGTTTGCAGTTGACATTAAGACGGGAAAATATTAATTCCACCTTAATGCGCTTGCTTGGGATCAGATTTATGACTTAATTTCTAAGAGTGGGGAGCTTGAAAGCCGTCCCGCTGTCTGTCCGGACCATGTGAGCTACGAGGATTTACAGTAAACTTAATGGATGTGCGTTCTCATCTTACTATGATTCCGTTTTGGAGAGTCTGACGGAGCTGAAATGCTGCGCTTCCACACAAGTATGATGCTTTTCCGATTACTGGTTCTGATTATTTTGCAAGGTAAGTTTTTATTTTTATTTATATTATTTAAAATATATTTAGTCAGTAGTCGCCTTGGATTTTTTTTTCTTTTTTTTTTTGTGCTTATTTGACAAACTGTTTCACGTCCTTTTAATGAAGGCGTTTTGATGTCCCACGTGAAATCCGAGAGCGACCCCAGCAGTGTTCCGGACTCCAAGGTGATGGGCTCCACGGGATCCGAGGCTTCAAAGCCGTCTGAGACCTCGATGTCCAGACAAAAGCGCTGCACCTGTTATTCCTACACGGACAAAGAGTGCGTCTATTACTGCCACCTGGACATCATCTGGATTAATACTCCTGAGTAAGATAGGATTCTCAAAATAACTGATCTGCTCACAATGTATCTGTTACAAGTCGCTGTATTTGTTTAGACCTAACCCAATGCATGCAGCTCATAATTTTGAAGAGTAAAATGTGCATCGTTTAAAAAAGCGAGGCGTGCATTTGTATTTAACCCCATGCCCCCTTCCCTGAGTCAGAGCTTTGCAAAACCACCATCCACAATCTAGAAATCTGGAACGCTTTTCGGGCATCTGCTTTGTGCATCCAGAAGCAAAATGTTTTGTCACTTTCCTCTTTTGCAACAGGAAAATGTTGGGTTCCCTTTCCACTCTGACCTGCTTCCCTTGTCCCTGCTGAACCAAAGCATTCCCACAGCATAATGCTCCCACCACCATGTTTCACATCTATACTGCTTTGTTCAGGCCCTTGTGTACCGCCACACACAGCTCCTCCAGAGTCACCATGTGCCTCTTGGCAGCTGCTCTCCCTCATGTTAGTTTACACACAAGCAGACTATACGTTTACCAGCTGCGTGACTTATAAAGGCAGTCATTTGCAATGGATCTGATTTGAGTGTGTCAGACTCAAAGAGGTTTATTAGATATGCATACTTCAGGTTTTGATCTGTAGAAGGAAAATTTAAATGTATTCTTTTCTTCACAGTTACTTACTATGCATTGTGTGAGTAACTACAACATGAAATCCAATAAAACGCATCGAAGTCTGTTATTTTAGCACAAAAAAAAATGCAGATGTTTGAATACATTTGTGAAGGCGCAGGATAACAGTGTAGAACGTGTTGCATAGTTTCTGCCAGCATCTCAGGATCCTGCCATAAGTCAGTGAGGACAGAGTGAAGGAAACGATCTGCCAATTGGATTGCGGTGAGTTTATGCAACTAAGAGAGAGGAACCACTTATATTTAGGGAACATGCTATTGTCAAGTCACACCCTGTCATATTCCCCCAAGGCGACGCAGTTTTAGTTCAAGTGATAACAAGCCCGAAAGAGACATCTCGTCTTCCCCCGGTTTAAATTCACATGCTAAGTCTCTGTAGTATTGTCTAGTAGAGCTCGCCCCACACACCCTTTTCTACTGGATTAGTATGTTCTCAGAGCTTCAACTGGGTCTAATAGTTTTAATGACGTTCACCGTCTTTTTTAATTGGAAGTCGACTTTGCAGGAGCCAGACCAAAGGTAATTTTGCTAAAGCTTAACGTTGCAAAAATAAAAGCCTCACAATACGATTAAAGAGACAGCAGTGCGTTTTATGGTATAATTACATTGAACAAGGTTCAAATAAACTCTGACTCTGTGAAACCGTGAAGATCTGGAACAAAACAATAGGAAGAACATCATCATTAACCAACACCATTTCCATTGCAGCAAGGTTAAAAATTTTCAGTTTTTTTTTTCTTTTTTTTTGTATTAAAGCAGGACTTTAATTCTGGATGAACACCACCTCGCAAAAGTATTCATTGTCTTTGAATTTTTTTTTTTTATTTTTTTTTTACATTTTGTCAAACTGCAGCCATTCAAATCTTTATTTACAGAGCACAGTGAAGGCGACACAAAGTGCTTTACGGAAAATTTAAAAAAGACAAACCAAGGGTAACCATGTGGAAAGAGTATAAAAAAAGGTTTGAAGCACTGAGATAGTTCTCTCGTGGTAATTATAATCATAATTCTTCTGCAATTGATATCACAAAGAAGTGCACAGTTGTAAAGCGAAGGGACGAGAATGCCTTGCCTGTATTTTACAAACTTTGTGTGGTGGGAAACTGACCCTTCACATCAAAATGAAAACATGAACTCGGTGTGAAGTATGGTGATGACTTCGCCACACTCTGGGGATCTGTTCTTCATCACGGACAGGGAAGCTGGTCTTAGTTGACGAGAAGATGGATGGAGCGAAATACAGGGCAAACCTCAAAGAAATCCTGTTAGAGGTAGAGAAGGACTTAAGGAAGCGGAGGAGGGTTCCCTTCAGTGACCCAAAACACAACCCTACAGGTAGAATGGAGTGCTTTAGATGGAAGCATGTTCATGTGTTAGCACTGCAGCCACTGATGACCTAAACGTAAGAGATACCAATGCAATGCACATTGAAGTCAGCTCATAACTTTTTTCACAGTTCATTTTAAAATGTTGCTGCCAATGTTGTTCTTTGGTTTGGTGGTGGCATGAAACATTGCTATCTAATCATGCTAAATTTAGACTGAAAGTCGTTTCAGCTTTATTGTTTTTGATAAAGCAACAAACATTGGCAGAAAAATGACAGTATGATGTTTTTTTTTTGTTGTTTTTTTTTGGTGGTTGACATTTTACTCTGTTACCACAAAACCGTCATATTTCAATCGCTAAAAGTGATAAACAGAAGCCTTAAACAGGGGCGGTGACACATGCGTTTCAGCATGTAGGGAAACTTAAATATCTCAAATGTATCTTCCTGCAGCGTGTTTTTTTTCTTCTCCATATCAAACTGAGGAAAACTGCCCTCAGCATAAAGACAGTCAAACCACAGATTACAATCTACGTGTTATAATATAAATTTCAACACATTCAGGATTGACACCTTCATACCACATCCCAAGCAAGAAATCAAGCAACCATCTGTTTTTTTTTTTTTTTTCTTTCTGCCTTCTGGTGCCAAGATTGCCAAAGGCTGTCTCAGATAAACAACTAAATTTATTACTTCAAAGCATGTCAGGACAAACAGACATACTTCAAATACTGAATGAAGCAACAAAATGGAAAACAACAAAAGTATGGGAGAATGTGTTTTTTTTTTGTATGGAAATATCTGAATAAATAATACGAAATCAGGACGAGAAAGTCGATCTTTCTTAAACAGATTGATACATGACCATCCAGTGCCTTGTGAAAAGTTTTACAGCCTTTTCAACTGTATGCTCAGAGCTGCTATTTTGCTGGAAGGCGAAAATTTGCCCCAGTCAAGTTTTTACAAGAGTTTTTAATTTCCCCATTGTTGCCCATCTAACTCCATCCACTATCCTTTGAGCTATGGCTAATTTCACAGTACATAGAAGAAAAAATATTCTCAATGACATGCGAACATATGGTGTGTTTGTTTTCTGCACGCGCCGCATTTTACGTATAGGTCAAAAACTTGAATTTCAGTCTCGTCTGAATGCAATACAGTCTTCTAACATGATGTATGACACGTGGAACATCAAGCAGGACTTCTTACGGCTTTCTTATTGCCACCTTTTCATTTACACAATGTTATTAGTTGTCCTGTTCACGGATTATCCTGCCTAACTGTGGATGTCTGCAGCTCCTCCATAACCTACCATGGACCTTTAAGATACTTATGAGTTGCTCGTATACTGAAATTGACACAAAGCTGGAAGGGACATTCTGGAATCCAGTTGGATGCAGTTTATTTTTTATCAGAGTAAAGTAGGCTGAGGACAAATCAACACTTGTTTTCAGACTTTAATTTGTTCAAAAGGATTCCACTTTCAATTCATAAATCTGAAGTATTCTCTGTTGGTTTATTAAATTTTAATAAAATACAAAAGGCGAATAAGGTTCAAGATGTGTAGTTGGATTGGCATGACAATGTATTAAACACAGCTTCAGTAATGCTTTAGTGAGGCTACTTTTTAGTCAAACTTACAAAGGTGTGGCTGCAAATAATCTCCAAATTTGATGCTGTTGTACATGAAAGTGGAGACTCCTTAGCTCCCAAACGTGAAACAAAAGGGGGCTGCCTCAGAGCAATTCCCTCCTCACCAGCTCATGCTAGCATTTTCAGAACCATTTGTTTTTATATTAAACCGTAACTCTGACGCACAGCTGCCAATTCACACTGAAGAGTCTTTTAGCCTAAGGGCAATCAGTTGCAAACTGGCAGACAAAGTAAGAGGCGAGAACTGCTAAGTGGAAGCAATGGGAGACATGTCTGCTACACTGCAGGTATTCAGTAAGACACAGGCAGTTTGGCATATTGTAACAAGTAAAGGAGGGAAAGTGATTTTTTTTTTTCAATGAATCTTTTCACTTTTCATGGCTAGTGTAGCCTCCTTCACCCAAGTCTGTTTGTGGAGCAGTATGGATCGTTTTTCTTTTTTATTTTTTTTGACCTTTGAGACCTTATGCCACAATCACTTTTGCCTTTTTCTTTTTTTCAAATAAAATAATTCTCAAGACGGTTGAAAATAGATGAGGCAAAAGAGAAAAGCAACCTGACAGCACAAGAATTGCTATCCAGATGGATGAATTGGCTTGAACAGACAGTACCATTAAAGACTATTTGAATTACTGTTGTGAAGTGGATTGATAGAAGTCATTTGTCAGATGTCATATGTTTCACCTGCTTCTCTGGTATGGCTGCAATTTTTTTATCCGACTTATTCCTATTGGCGATGTTACTAACAGTGATCAAACTCATCAAAATTGTCAGTTTTGCAAAATGGATCCAGTCGTATCACACCATGTTATTATATTTTAGTTCAGCCAAATCCGGCCCACTGTAGCTATTTATGTGGCCCTCTAGACTCTTGAGGGCTCCATAAGTAGAACATTCAAGATAATAGTTGTGTGCCTAAATATTATTTTATTAATCAAATCTAGGAGTTTTTATCTGTATACTGTCAGATTTCATTTTAAGACATGCTCATTGAATACAGAGATATCGATTTATTGATATTTAAAAATTTCAATCTGAAGTTTTATCAATACATTCTGCCACAGCGAGTCCTTTAAGGACATTCACGGCCGCGATATGGCTCAAAATGAAAATGAGTTTGAGGCTCTTGCTCTCTATTAAATATAGCACATCATTTTGAACTTCGGTCCTTGGCCGCTGAATCCAGGTGTTTGTTTGCACTTTATCTTAGGCGCACTGTGCCTTATGGTATGTCTAACTACAGAGGACCAAAGAGAAGGAGACGTGATGCTACTGCAACACCAGCGCCCAAAGGTGGCCGAACTCAGACACGTCGATGTATCTGTGCTGTGACAGATGCAGACCCTGGGTGTCAACGCTTCTGTCTGTCGAGGTACGCCTGACTCCAGCTCGCATAGCTCTGGAAGATGATGTGTTTGCATTACTAAAAGGTAATTAAGAGTAAATATCAGAGTGGATCCACCGGATGCCTAAGCTGTATGTGAACCATGATAATTATTGCCGTTAGTGGTAAGCAGTAAAACACCTTAAATTAAATTCACTTTTAATTACACATTGAACAATGTAGAAAAATCCAACTTTAAATTTGAGTGCATTTTTTTTAGCACCAAAGCCGATAGATTATTTCCATATCTAAATGAATGTTTGTCCATAAATGAATGATTGATCAGTGGCTATAACCAAAACAAATAAAAATGTTGTACTCCCTGGGCTCCAACTAAAATTGTCAGCACTGTAATATTCATTATATATTTTTGCTGTCAGGATACAGTTTTGTACATTATGCTGGAAATCTGTAAAAATCTACATTTCTTAATTGGTACTGACACTTTATTGACTGAAGATCTCTCAAAATTTCTTTGTCGAAAAAAAAGTGTAGTGTTAAATCTGGTTTTGCCTGAGTTTTATAGGTCGGATCTAATTTAATGGGTAAGAAGTCGAGATTGTGAGCGTGCCATCTCAAAATCCTTACCTCTTCATTGTAGTCATTCTTGTTAAGTCTTATCAAAGTTTCAATGGTGATTTAATCAACTGATTATCTTGTTCAAATAATTTATTAAACATTTTTAATCCCTAATTTTGCCTGAATTGGACAATCTCTTGAAGTAGCAACTTCTTCCCATCTTTCCATCTTGCTTGGAAAGATGGAATATCTGCTGTACACCAACAAACTAGAGTCCTAAATTGAGCAGCCCTCCTTTTTACCTTTATCATCTATAGAGTTTGAGTCCCTAAGCTTGGTCTTTCCCCCTGCAAAATTAATATAAAAATTAGCTTGTCCCATTCATAAAACAGTTTATTTGTTATTTTAACTGGAAGTGTTTGGAACAAATAAAGCATCTCAAGCAAAATATTCATCTTAATTTTATCGAAACGTGACACCAAGCTTAGGATTGGTATGAAATTGTACCTTTTAATGTCTTCTTTTATTATATTGCAGAAGAGCTTAAAGTTTCACTATTTAAATGAGTAAATGTCCTGAGTAGCACATGACTGGCGGTATCTGGTATTGATCACAGTGTTATCTTTAACTGTGCCTCTCAAATCAGTAAACTCTATCATGTATGCTTATAAGTATTCAGACATTTTGCCAGAATAAAGCATTATTATGTTTGTGTGTCTTGGTTTCTCATCTTGAGCATATGATTGGCCTAAATCCACAGAGCTCTTACACTCTTGGCAGAGGCCTAAAATTAATATTAAAAAATTCCTCCGGTCTTTGTTCTTGTTGAGTAAACTAAACCAGCCTTGTCATCTCTGCTGAGGAGTGTTTCTCCTAAACAATGTGGCATGATTACTGGTTTAAGGTCTGTGGTTACGCATAAATGTATGGGACTATGTTTCTCATAAACCCATATCCTCGTTTTCTATGTTTTTGTCACAACTATTGGTTAATGCAAGACTAATTTGAGGGAATGTTCCTAATACCGAAATTTTCTTTTTGAAGCCCACATCAGACTCGACTATCCAGGAGTCCCCACAGAGTCCCCTGCCTTGGATGATGCCACAACAACCGTCCATCTTCTGCTGTTCCTTTCTAGGTCAATGGATCTTTCCGCTCCCCTTCATCCACTTCCCCTTGACCTCCGTTAGGCTCCTTCACTCCCAGATACAAACTGTGAAAAGGAAGAACTTCGGAGTTGCACACTGCCAACATTCCTCGGCATCAAAGCTCTTGGAACAAGTTCCATCAGGCCAACAGGTTTCAAAAAGTCATCAGGAAAATTTGATGCAGACCTCTTGGGGCTATTCTTACCTT